AACTTTCTCTTGATCCTGACATTCCATATCGCGGCAATCTTGAGAAAATTATTTATTCATTCATTTCCACAAAGCACAAGATAATGTTGCGTAAAAGTATTAACAGAATTTTTCAACAAAGCATGAGATATTGTTGAAAGTTTTAACAGTAATCATTTTTAGCTCACCTGAGCCGAAGGCTCAAGTGAGCTTTTCTGATCATATTTTGTCCGTCGTCCATCCGTCTGTCTGTCTGTCCGTCCGTCCGTCTGTCTAGCTGTCCGTCTGTCTGTCTGTCTGTAAACTTTTCACATTTTCAACTTCTTCTCAAGAACCACTGGACCAATTTTGACCAAACTTGGTACAAAGCATCCTTGGGTAAAGGGAAATTTAAATTGTTAAAATGAAGGGACATATCCCCTCGCAAGGGGAGATAATCAAGAAAAGACAAAAAAATCTTCTTCTCAAGAACCACTGGGCCAGTAAAGCTGAAACTTATGTGGAAGCAATCCTGGGGTAGTGTAGATTCTAAATTGTTCAAATCATGACCCCCAGGGGAAGGGCGGGGCCACAATGGGGAATCAAAGTTTTATATAGAAATATATAGGAAAAATCTTTGAAAATCTTCTTCTCAAGAACCAGTGGGCCAGAAAAGCTGAAACTGATATGGAAGCATCCTGGTATAGTGTAGATTCTAAATTGTTCAGATCATGACCCCCGGGGGATGGGTGGGGCCACAATGGGGAATCAAAGTTTTATTTAGAAATATATAGGAAAAATCTTTGAAAATTTTCTTCTCAAGAACCACTGGGCCAGAAAAAGTGAAGCTTATGTGGAAGCATTCTGGGGTAGTGTAAATTCTAAATTGTAGGAATCATGACCCCCGGGGGAAGGGCGGGGCCATTATAGGGAATCAAAGTTTTATATAGAAATATATAGGAAAAAACTTGAAAATCTTCTTCTCAAGAACCACTGGGCCAAAAAAGCTGAAACATATGTGCCCATGGAAGGATCATGGGGTAGTGTAGATTTCAAAATGTCTAAATTATGATCAGTGGGGTAGGGTGGGGATGCATTATGTATAACAAGGGTGAAATCTGGTAAAGAACAGAATGGTCAAAGCTTCTCAGGTGAGCGATGTGGCCCATGGGCCTCTTGTTAATTTTGGTTCTAGGTAATCATGCTGAAAATTATGTTACAATTTTTTTTAAAAGTACACGAAATTGAATCATCAAAGTATTTATTTAAGAAGACTTCGATTTTTCTCTTCTGAATTTTCGCGGATATCTTATTTTCTAAAGAGCACCAATAAATGATAACACTTAAGTTTTAGCATAATTCATATTTCATTTGTCAACTCTCAATCATTTAAAAAAGAGGCCGATAAGTATAAGATTAGGTAAAATTACATTTAAAAAGTGTTTAATTGTTTAATGTGTCGTAATCAACACATGCTCACACATATTAAAGGTCATAAACTGACCCCCAATTTTTAACAAAGAAAATAATCAAAGCAATTAATAGGACAGTAAATAAACATTGCTCTAACTGTAAAAACATTGCTTTGGAGTTGGTAGACAATTAATTGCCCGAAGGGGTGTTGATAGGTCATTATCATTTGAACAGCGCACGTGTGTCACAACATTGGCTTCCTTTCATTGGGACGTATGGAGGGGTGTTTATGTTGCAGCAGATTTTCATTGAGTTATTTAAAACCTAAAATAAATTTTTATTTTATTGTATTTCATTAAAAAAAGACTTATTACTAATTGTTTGGCAGATAAGGTGCATGTGCACTATCATTACGGAAGCACGTGACATAGGCATGAGTGAACGTCTAAAAATAACATCGGTAATGGCGGCCTACTCGGAGACGATGAACATGCAGCTCAAATTACTTTTAACTTGCTTTTTCATGTTATTTTAGTATCAAAAGATTATGAAAGTGACATTTTTAACAAGCATACCTTCCAACAATAACTTTCCGAAGTTTAAAATATGGCGATAAAAGAAATTGCATATGTCTCTAGGTAATACTATGGTATGTACGTATGATAGCTGTGTTTCACCTGAAAGAAAAACTTATCAAAATCCCATTGTGATGTACAATACGCATCCCTTTCTCACAGAAATTTATTTAGGAAAAAAGTGCGTATTATATTCCCCCAAATACGGTATTACCTGCTGAATAATGAAGCCACTCCCTCCAGCATAGCAACAGTCAACATTGCTTAACGACGGGTGATATTCCAAAAAATAGCGACTGCGCAGAATTTATGCATGCACGGTTCATTGTTATATGTATTTGTATGAAACATTCAGTATAATGTAATAAATATTGCATGTAGTTGAGTGTAACATTGAAAATTTTCAACCCAGAAAACCATGATTGTCAACCTCTGCTGCGCCTCGGTTGACAATGGTTTTCTTGGGGTGAACATTTTCAATGTTACACTCAACTACATGCAATATTTATATAACAATGTCTTGGAAACAATCATATCCTTACAAGCAGTTTGTTTAGCTGAATATTGTCTATATAGCTATAACTGTTCCGTGTTTTCCATAAACTTGCAGAATTAGATAAAATCCATAACTGGGCAATAAACTTATAAATGAGCTATATACAGCAATATCTACAGAAACGACTATTTTGGAATTTAACAGAATTTAATCCAGAAGCATTAAAATTAATCAAATTAATCATTAAAATTATATGTTTATTTTAAACTGTCATGTGAATGTAATTTACAGGAATTTGATTTGCATTATTAGGTCACCTGAGTAAACTCAGGTGACCTATTGCTATCTGTTTTCGTCCGTCGTCGTCCGTCGTTTGTCGTCCGTCGTGTGTTAACATTTGAACATTTTCAGCTTCTTCTCTGCAACCACTGAACCAATTTCCACCAAATTTGGCACAAAGCATCTATGGGTGAAGGGGAACAAAAATTGTGAATTTCATGATCCCTGCCCCCCTGGGGCCTGAGGGGTGGGGCCAAAACCACTAAAATTAATGAAATCTTTAAAAATCTTCTTCTTTACTCCTGGACATCAAGCAGTCAAACTGTTTGCATGATTGTAATCAGCATTGGGTCCTTTACCAAAATTGTGAAATTCATGGCCCTGGGGTCAGGGGTTCTAGTGCTAGGGCGGGGCTAAATAAGTATATAGTGAAAATGCATTATTTCTTTGGAAATCTTCTTCTCTACTCCTGGGTATTGAATAAACCAACTAAGTACATAGTTATGATGAGCAAGAGTGCCTCTACCAAAATTGTGAATTTTATGGCCCCAGGGTCAGGGGTTCTGGTGTTAGGGCGGGGCTCTATTGATTATATATAGTGAAAATACATGATTTCTTTGAAAATCTTCTTCTCTGCCCCTTGGTATTAAATATACTAACTAAGTACATAGTTATGATGGGGATGAGTGCCTCTACCAAAATTGTGAATTTTATGGCCCCAGGGTCAGGGGTTCTGGTGTTAGGGCGGGGCTCTATTGATTATATATAGTGAAAATACATGAATTCTTTGAAAATCTTCTTCTCTGCCCCTGGGTATTAAATATACTAACTAAGTGCATAGTTATGATGAAGATGAGTGCCTCTACCAAAATTGTGAATTTTATGGCCCCAGGGTCAGGGGTTCTGGTGTTAGGGCGGGGCTCTATTGATTATATATAGTGAAAATACATGATTTCTTTGAAAATCTTCTTCTCTGCCCCTGGGTATTAAATATACTAACTAAGTGCATAGTTATGATGAGCATGAGTGCCTCTACCAAAATTGTGAATTTTATGGCCCCAGGGTCAGGGTTCTGGTGTTGGGGGGGGGGGGGGGCTCTATTGATTATATAGTGAAAATACATGAATTCTTTGAAAATCTTTCTACTCTGCTCCTAGGTATTAAATAAACCAACTAAGTGCATAGTTATGATGAGCATGAGTGCCTCTACCAAAATTGTGAATTTTATGGCCCCAGGGTCAAGGGTTCTGGTGTTAGGACGGAGCTCTATAGATTATATATTAGTAAAAATACATGAATTCTTTGAAAATCATTTTCTCTGCTCCTGGGTATTAAAAAAACTAAGTGCATAGTTATGATGAGCAAGAGTGCTTTTACCAAAATTGTGAATTTTATGGTCCCAGGGTCAGGGTTTCTGGTGTTAGGGCAGGGCTCTATTGATTATATATTGAAAATACATGAATTCTTTGAAAATCTTCTTCTCTGCTCCTAGGAATTAAATAAACTAAGTACATAGTTATGATGAGCAAGAATGCCTCTTTTAAAATTATGAATTTTATGGTCCCAGGGTCAGGGTTTCTGGTGTTAGGGGGGCGGGGCTCAATTGATTATATAATGAAAATACATTAAATCTTTGAAATTTTTTTATTATTCTTGGGTATAAAGCAGATGAACTACCTTTATAGTTATGATGGCAAGGGCCCTAATCTTGCAGAATTGTGAATTTCATAGCCCCAGGGTCAGGAATGGGGGCTCTACTTATATACTGATAATGAATTTATTGTTTGAAATCTGATCTTTTGTATTATAAAACATTTATTTATTTTTTGATATTAAGGGTGCCTTTTTGAAATTTGTGTAATGTGTGGACCTAGGGTCAGGGGTTTATGTCACAGGGTTAGGGGCACTACTGGTTAGTTGGAATGCATTTTTGTTCCCCTACCCTGCATATGGGTATTCAGTAACCAAGCTAAGCAACTGCTAAGTGTATTGTTATGATGATCAATGGTGCCTCTTTCAAAATTGTGAATGTCATATAGCATCTGGCTTAAAACATGAATCAAATTCAATAACTGGAAAATTGTTGCATAATGCTCAGGTGACCTATAAGGCCCGTGGGCCTCTTGTTTTACTTAGAGTGAAACAGTTAAGATGCATTACAAATCTCAGTTATATATTAATTAAATTCATTATAACTTTAAAATCCTCTATATCTAAATGAAAATTATTTGTACACTACTCTAAGAAATATGCAGGTTTGTTGCATTCTTTTACAGGTGACCTTAATCGTCATGTGAGGAAAGTCCACTTGTTGGTTCCACTTCAGAAATGTGGTCACTGTAACAAACAATTTGTTAAGGAATCTACACTGATTAGACACATGCAAACTACCCACAAGGAAATCTTCATCAAATCTCTAAGGACTCAGCTTGATCAAGTGCCTTTGTAAGTTTTAAAAATGCTGTACAAATCTACAAGTCTGTAAAAAAAAATTTATCAGAGATTAAAGAATTGTTGAGGCAAAATGTAATTACTTTAAAAAGAAAAAAAGCCCCAATGTTTTAAAGTGTATCCTTTACGGATATAAGAATATGTGTTTTTAATAGGGATGGCAATTTGTAACTGGTTAATCGATTAATCGGTCAGATTGATGCTAATTGGTTAGAAAATCTGAATTTGTTGGAAAAATAAAATATTTGTAAATTTGAGTGCAGTTTCCTTAAAATCCCTTTGGGTTTTTTTTTATGAAATGAAAGTGCTGCATAGATTTTTATGTAGTGTTTTTACACATCTTGTAATTAAGAATATTTGGATGTAATTAAAGCTCTCCAGATTGACATTGCAATTCGTAAAGTGTTGCTATTGTTTTTTAGCTCACCTCAGCCGAAGGCTCAAGTGAGCTTTTCTGATCACATTTTGGCCGTCGTCCGTCCGTCTGTAAACTTTTCACATTTTCGACTTCTTCTCAAGAACCACTAAGCCAATTTTGACCAAACTTGGTACAAAGTATCTATAAGTAAAGGGGAATTTAAATTGTAAAAATGAATCACCCTCACAAGGGGAGATAATCAAGAAATGACAAAAATAGGGTGGGGTCATTAAAAAATCTTCTTCTCAAGAATCACTGGGCCAGAAAAGCTGAAACTTATGTGAAAGCATCCTGGGGTAGTGTAGATTCTAAATTGTTCAAATCATGACCCCCTGGGGGTTGGGCGGGGCCACAATGGGGAATCAAAGATTTACATAGAAATATAAAGGAAAAATCTTTAAAAATCTTCTTCTCAAGAACCACTGTGCCAGCAAAGCTGAAACTTATGTGGAAGCATCCTGGGGTAGTGTAGATTCTAAATTGTTCAAATCATGACCCCTGGGGGTTGGGCGGGGCCACAATGGGGAATCCAAGTTTTACATAGAAATATATAGGAAAAATCTTTGAAAATCTTCTTCTCAAGAACCACTGGGCCAGAAAAGCTGAAACTTATGTGGAAGCATCCTGGGGTAGTGTAGATTCTAAATTGTTCAGATCATGACCCCCGGGGTTTGGGAGGGGCCACAATGGGGAATCCAAGTTTTACATAGAAATATATAGAAAAATCTTTAAAAATCTTCTCAAGAACCACTGGGCCAGAAAAGCTGAAACTTATGTGGAAGCAAGCTAGCATCTAATGGTGAAACGTTTACTGAATTTTGTAAATTTTTAAACGAGCAGCAATAAACGAAACGGTACCATTTAAACGGGAGATTTTTATGTGATGAATTTCTTGGCTACTTACTCATGAAACACTAATTTAATAAACCATTCTTTCACTATAATGAAAGTATGAGTTGTCATTACTGTTTATTTGTTGGTTTTTATGACGAAAGAGTAGGAAGTGTCAAAAACTGAAACAAGATAGTAATATAAAAATATAATACGATAACATTGAGGGTTTTGGTTTACGTTCAATTTTTCAAAGCTCTATATTCAACATTATACCGTTATAAGCGTGATACTTTTTTACTTTCTTATCAATAAAAAGCAACAACAAAGGTTATTTAATTTAGAACATATACTTGGAAAAATAAAATACAGTGGACCTTCAGATATCCGGACGTCAGATATCCGGATGCTTCAGTATCCGGACGATTTTTCAACGGAACAAAATTTTTAAATGTTATTTTGTCTTGTTTAACTTGTGATTCAGATATCCGGATGCTTCACATATCCGGACAAATTGACTGGGAACCAAAGCGTCCGGATAAATGAGGGTCCACTGTAATACATCGCTAGTTTTCACTCCTCGGAAATCGGAATTAGATATGTTATACCATATTGGTTTCTAGATAGTTTAGTTTAATATTACATTTCCAGTATTATAACAGAAAAAAATGTTTGTATCAGTAAATATGAAATAAAACAACTTGTTTGGATAAAAGGTTTTTTTCCGATAGACATTGATATTAACCTTGGTGTAAACGTTTACTAAATTTGTAAACGTTTAGACCATTTAATCGAAACGTCGCAGTTTACACATGTAATCGTTTTGCTCTTGGAAGCATCCTGGGTACTGTAGATTTCAAATTGTCTAAATTATGATCAGTGGGGTAGGGTGGGTCGCAATATGTATTACAAGGGGAAGATCTGGTAAAGAACAGAATGGTCAAAGCTTCTCAGGTGAGGGATGTGGCCCATGGGCCTCTTGTATAACATCATGCCATTTAGTAACCCAGATAGTCCTGTGGTTTTTTATTGATATTAAAAACATCACCATTAAGCACTTTTAATTTTAGTATGTCTATATTTTGCTGTTATCTATCAAATTATATTATTATAAAAAAAAAACATTGTAAATAAAGTGAGAGTTCAGACATTGACTAGTTCTGATTATGGTGACAACGCAGAATTAACTTCTTTAACATTTGCGTTGGGAAAATTATCCCTGTCTGATTTCTCAAGCGATCTATTCATAATCGATACATGTAGAATAAAACAAATTTATTTTAAAATTCTTTACACATATTCAGGGGTTATTATCTGGAATGAGTTGCCTATTGGTATCAGGAATTCCCTCTATCCCTTGCAATATTTGTAGGCTAATTAAGGATAGTACAATACTCTTACATTTTTTGCATGTGTAAATGAATAGTAAAGAGACTATTAAAAAAAAATTCACTTAAATTAAAGGTCACAGTGACCTTGAAATAGGTCGCGACACACCTTCTACCTAAGATGCATACACTGGCCAAGTTTGATGATTCAAGTCTAACAGTTTTCTAGTGATGGACCAGAAAGGATTTGTCCATATTTGGCTACTTCTTAGTTATAGGTCAGCGACCTACTTTTTGTGCGTGAACACACCTTCTACTCAAGATGTATCAGCTGACAAAGTTTGATAACATTAGGCCTATTAGTATTAAAGTTATAACCAACACGAGAATAGCTAACAGACCGACGGACATATAGACAGACAAACATACATGAAGTCTATAACATAATACGACCCATCTTAATTTTGCAATAATTAACATAGCTTTAGAGGATACAAAGCATTTTTGAGCATTATTTCTCTTTTCTTTTTTTTTTTTTTTAAATCAAAGCTACTTCTGGTCAAACAGAATCAAGACCTTCTCGTTGCTTTGCAACGAGCTTTGCTCTAGTTATCTTAGAGATTTTGTTCACTATAAATGTGTATTTTTTGTCTTTATTTCTAATTCAAAGTTCCCTTACAGTTACCTCGGACCAAATAACGTAATAAATAATATTAGGCTTTATGAAAGAAAGAAAAGTATTTTAGCATTTTTTTTTTAATTCATGAATAAAAATTTGTTAGAATATTTCAAATAAAGTGAAATTTGACAAATTAAGTCATTCTCTCCATCATGCACATGTATTTGTTTATATGCATTACATCACGCGGCGTAGGAATACATAGTGTTGATACGAAAACGATATCACATGAGCTATATCAACGGGATAAAGGTGAAAGTATGTGATAAAATACAAACTCGTTTTCTTCTTCTGTGCTAATACGGTTAATCAATTGAACTTTTTTTTAATTTAGCGTTTTCATTGGTTCTTCATCCTTATTGGAAATATTTGTCAGATGCAGGTTAGGCCTACACATCGCAGGGCTCATCGTCATCTGCCTTATAATCCTTTCGTATTTTCCAGTTTGTATGCTATTTTTCTTAAAAATAGACTTGCATGAAAAATAAATACATTGCCGATGCATGGAGAATTTATTTATTTATATTTTTATGAACTATGGTGACATAATTTCACATAAATAAAATTACACCTCTCAATGAACTTTCAATCCGCCACCGGAAATAGTAATGTAAAGTCAAAATAAACATACTGCACATTCCTTGAGCAAAATCTTATACCTGTTTTCATCCGTCTTTCATCAAAATGTTTTGAAATATACATGTTTTATTTTGCTCGAGGGATGTTCACTACTTCAATTTTAGAAATATCTGTTGAAAATAATGGAAAATCTAGCAATTTCCGTAAAAAAACGGATCTTTAAACGTGGTGTATACGTCTAAGTAACGGAGTGTGGAAATTTTGCATCGCATATTTTAAAACTACCAATCTTCTAGTACATGCACAAAGTTTTTATATTTTGGCAAAATTGTATATTAAATTATGGAAAATACCGGGCCTCCATATAATAGGTAACGTACTTAATTCTTTAAAGAAATACTGTGGGTAAATTTACATTACTTTGTGGATTCAGATATTTTTGTGAGTACACATGTATTTTCGATTACTTAACTGCTAATTTTATCAACCTGAGGATCGGACTACCTTAACCTTAATGCATCTTGAGTCCTCGGAAACTTCAATCTTAACGTAGGTCACTGTGACCTACTTATGGTATTTTATAGCTTTATTGAAATATCTTCAGTCCTAACTGGCTAAGAATCATCAAACTTTGTCAGTTGATGCAACTTGGGTCTTAGGATACTTAGAGTTAGAGGCTTCAAGTAGAAGTGACAGATTGTACAATTTATTAGAAGAGCAATTCAAGGCCAGTGGGCCTCTTATTTCTCAAGTACAATAATGCCATTTATTATATTGACAAGGAAGCATCATCAGGAAGTTTAAACTTCAACCCCCCCCCCCTTGTAATCTTTTCAATACTGAATATTGATTTGTGCTTTTGCCGAGCCAATGTGCTCAGCTGAGCGATGTGTCCCATAGGTCTCTTGTTCAGTTTAGAGCTTGTCAATAATTTTCAGGGAAAATTGTTTGAGTTTGACCTGTGAAATAAATGTGATTCCTGTATGTCATCATCATTTACCACATGAAATTGGTTTACTTACTAATACATTTTATAATTTTTTTTCAGGGAAAAGCAGGAAGTTGCTGATGCACGAGAGGGAACCAGTGTAACAGATTCTTAAGTTTCTCACGTTTTCGTGAGCACAGACTAACATTTTAAAGTTTTACATAGAAATAGATAGGAAAATTCTTTAAAAATCATCTTCTCAAAAATAACAAAGCCATAATTGATCACATCTGTTTGGAAGCATCCTCAGGTAGTGTAGTTTCAAGTTTGTTCAAATCATGACCCCTAGGGGTAGGGCGGGGCCAAAGTGGCCAACCAAAGATTTACATAGAATTAGATAGGAAAATTCTTTAAAAATCTTCTTCTCAAGAATAACAAAGCCATAATTGATCATATTTGTATGGAAGCATCCTCAGGTAGTGTAGATTCAAGTTTGTTCAAATCATGATTGACCCCCGGGGATAAGGCTGAGCCACAATGGCCGACCAAAGTTTTACATTGATATATATAGGAAATTTCCTTAAAAATCTTCTTCTCAAGAGTAACAAAGCCATAATTGATCATATTTATATGGAAGCATCCTCAGGTAGTGTAGATTCAAGTTTGTTCAAATCATGACCCCCGGAGGTAGAGCGGTGCCACAATGACCAATCAAAGTTTTACATATATAGAGGAAAATTCTTTAAAAATCATCTTTATTATGAAGAATAGCAAAGCGATGATTGGTCATGGGACCAATGGATATAAACTATTCAATAATAAACCAATTTCTACTTTTTCCCAGCCACAGTGCTCAGGTGAGTGATGTAGTCCATGGGCCTCTTGTTTTTTTAGAAAGGAAAGCGCTGCATAGATTTTTATTTAGTGTTTTTACACATCTTATAATTAAGAATATTTGAAGGTAATTATAGCTCTTCCTTGAACTTGAACTTTATTCTCATAACTGACAAAACAGTGAAGAGAAGATATATACAGTATAATGAACATGAAATATTACATGCATGAAGAAGGGATAACAGAGTAATATCAATTAACCGAGAGAGCTAACTCTCTCAATTATAATATCTAACAATTTACAAATCTTGAAGAGTTGATTAGTATTGGTTACATTAAAAAGCATTTCAAATTTCAAAATATTTGAATCCAAATAAAAATATTTTGACAAATACATGACTCTTGAATTCTTTATAGACACATCAGTGCATTTAAATAAGTAATGAAATTCATCCCCAATGTCATTGCTATCCCTTACCAAATTATTGACCTTCTGGCAACATCTTCTGGCTTTATTGCCGCAATATTGCAGCAACATTCTGGCAATACATTGCCGCAATATTGCGGCTATATCGTTTTTCGTATGTAAATTAGTTTTGCGGCAATATTGCCAGAAAGGGGTTGCGGCAATATTGCTGCAAATCATGACCAAAATATTGATCTTCTGGCAACATCTTCCGGTTTATTGCCGCAATATTGCGGCTATATCGTTTTTCGTATGTAAATTAGTTTTGCGGCAATATTGCCAGAAAGGGGTTGCGGCAATATTGCTGCAAATCATGACCAAAATATTGATCTTCTGGCAACATCTTCCGGCATTATTGCCGCAATATTGCGGCAATATCGTTTTTCGTATGTAAATTAGATATAAATTGGTATTTAATAGAAATAATGATCTATCAATCTAACAATTAACAAACTGTGCTGAGGAACATAAGAATCAAGAGCATAATAAGCTACAGAGTCAGTAAGAAATAGCTACTTAAGCTTATGCTATTCTTTGATAAGATAGAAAAATTTTGTTGAAAAAAGATGTGTTTTGAAACACTTTATGCCCCCAATGGCAACAAAGTTTGAAAAACCATTTTTAGCATATAGGTCACAGTCAAAGTCACAAGGTCATTGATCTTGGTGTCATTTGAAAGAACTTAATTAGTGGAATATGCATACTAAATATGAAGTCTTTATCTCTTATGGTTCAAAATTTATGGTGGGGTTTTATAAAGGCTATTTTTAGCATATAGATCACAAAAAAGGTCACAAGGTCATTGACCTTGGTGTCATTTGAAAGAGCATAAATAGTGGAGAATGGATACTAAATATGAGGCTGCCATCTTTCATGGTTCAAAAGTTATGTCAAAGGTTCAAAAAATCTATTTTAAGCATATGGCTCACAGCAAAGGTTACAAGGTCAAAGACCTTGGTGTCATTTTAAAGACCCAAATTAGTTGAGTATGCATATACTAAGTATATTGTCTCTATTTCTCCTGGCCGCCGAAATATGGCTGAAATATTGCCGCCTCGGCGTTAAACAATATAAATCAATCAATCAATCTATTTCTCCTGGTTCTTAATTTATGGCAAATATTCAATAAAAACTATTTTTAGCATATAGGTCACAGTTAAGGTCACCAGGTCATTGACCTTGGTGTAATTTGAAAGGACTTAATAAGTGGAGTATGCATACCAAATATGAAGTCTCTATATCTCATTGGTTCAAAAGTTATCGCATATGGCAAAGGTTAAATTTTACAAACAGATTGGACAAAAACAATATGCGCCCTAATCTATCAATCCAGGCACATACAAAATGTGTGTATAATAAAATATTAATATGCCACTGTAAAAATGTCCAGCAACTCTGCATTAATTTTCAATTAACCTTATAATTAGCTGCCCATCACATATTCCCTAATGCCAATCAGTATAATGTATAATACATGGCTTGTTTGTAATTTCCAACATATATATAGAATTATTATTTTCTTGCAGGTATTCAAATTTATGCAATAAATTAATCATATATATGCATGCATTTAATTGATAACATGCATTCATCTTCTCCTGCAACAATGGTATGATATATATAGACATACAAGTATATAGTATACATGCATCACAAGCACTAGTTGAAATGCATATAATTTTTCCTATTTTAACTCCATAAAATCATTCATCTGAAAAAGAATATGGTTTTGACTTACCAAGTCTAATATATATACCATGAAAACAGATTAGACATTCCTATAATTCTTTCAAAAGGCCATGCCATGGAAACTGCTGAAATTCTTTTTTTTTCTGGCTATTCCACATTATTCAGTCTTACTAGTCATCATGTCTAATCCTATTGTACACAAGTAACAACTCCAGTTAACTTGATACCATTCAATAATGAAGCAAAACATGCTTGCCTTTCAATTCCCTCCATTTTATTTAAAAAGAGGAAGTAAATGACTGAGCATGCTCACAAATGCCTAATAGGTAACCCTAGATCTTCTGGCGACATTCTGGCAATACTGCCAGAAAGTTTTTTTTCTGGCAGTATTGCCAGAATGTCACCAGAAGTTGTTGCCGCTAGCGGTGATATTTCACTAACCCAAAAAGCTTGTTTCTGGTGACAAAAATGTGTTGCTGCAATGTTGCCGCAATATAGCAGCAAAATTGCTGCAATAATTTTACATCCCAAACATTTTTGTATTTACCAAATGTACCGTCAAGAGAGAGAGACCGGAGATGCCGTGATCGCGTGATGGGACCTCTACTGGATATAGACATGTGCTTATAAATTTTATTACTGATAATTTATAATACAAATTTGTATCCTCTACAAGAAGAAGGGTTTTGAAAAAAAATGTATTTAGTTTTTGAAACGGTTAAAATAATGATAGTTTATCAGTTTATTCACATAGCTAAAAAAAACATTCATTTATCATTAATTTGTTCAAGAGCAAAAGAAATTAAAGAATAATACTGCAAGAATAATACTGATAAGCATCGTAACTAAGCAGTTTTGGTTGTTGGTTACATGACAATATGTCCACTTCACTAGATGCACGGACTACCTGATCTCTCTGTGGATTACCTGTGTATTGTGTGCGTTCATGCGGAAAGTGATTTCCTGTTTCGTAGTTGATGTATACATATTATATATTACATTATTTTGCGATCTCTTGTATTTGTTTTTCCTGGTTATTTAATTTCGAATAATTTTTATTGTATGCATACCCTCATTTTTCATGTTTTTCTTGCAGTCAAAAAGTTTGGGAAAAAATGCCCCGGGCAAATGGAAAATACCTGAGGGATCTTGAAAACTGTGAAACTTGCAGGAAATTCTTTAATCAATTCCTGGCCCAGATAACTCAGTTACATAGAAAAACAACACCAAAAGATTGATACATGCTTTATTGAAATATTTTTCAGAAAGGAGCATGTATCAATCTTTTGGGGTTGTTTGGTATGTAACTGAGTTATCTGTTCCAGTATTTTAAGATGCGTTTTTTAGTCCGCTGACTCTCGGATTATATTTTGTAACCATAATTAATTTATTGTCGGGTCTCAGTTGGCCGTTACTTTTATTTAGGATATCATTTCTGTCTGTTCCAATTATTCTTGTGATAATAGGATCTATTTCTTTATCAGAGAAGCTTCTCTTTCACAAGTGTTTCTTAAAGTCTTGTAGAATACTAGTAATATACTGAGAGCAGTGCCATTGGTATTTCGCAAATGTATTTTGCGACCTTGAACGAAACCTTTGAATACCGCTGGGTTGTAAGAACTTTCTCTGTGTAGATATTAAGATTTGATATCAAGTTTGTTTGATTCTTGAAATTTTCCTTTAAAAACTTTTGTATCTAAAAAGTTTACTGAATCAACAGAGATTTCAGAGGTGAAGTGCGGATGACACTGATTGCCAAGTTCAAAGAAATCGAGAATCTCAGTCTCAGAGCCATTGAAAATGATGAAACCATCATCTCTAAATCTGCCAAACAAGATTTTATTAGCAAATTGAAACATCCCAAGAGAGGGAGATCACCCCTCTTTCCATCCTCTACTTAACAAAATAAATATCGTGGGTTTGTTCTTGAACTGTGTGATTAACTATGCCAAAACATCACCAAACCTTTTATTTTGGAAAAAAAAATCCGTTTTTCAAGTTGGACATTATAAGATATTAATGTTGTGCATAACTAAATACATGTAAGCATTAAAACGTATGTGCATCATGCGTTAAACTCTCACCATTTCCCAAATACTAATACTACGAATTTTAAGATTGAAATAAATGAGGAGTTGTCAGCAAAAAGTAAATATAGATAAACAAATTTCTGAACTAAATTGTATATTGTGTAACTATGTATACTAATAGGATTTACATATACTAATGATTTACATATACTAATGATTTTTTTTATTGATTACATTGGTGTCGGGAGCAAATTGAAAGTGCGGGGGGATAATTGAAAAAGAATTTTAAAAAATCAAATTTTAAGAATAATTGACAAAAAAAAGAAAAGAAAATTTGTCCATTGACAAAACTAGTAGTCCAAACCCGAACTCCTATTTCGGGAAGGGGGGATCCGATTTTTTTTTTTTATCAAGAACTACCACTAACTCTTCTTTCTTTGACTACACTGTAACGTGCCTGTTGAAAGGGGGAAGGGCTAAACCAATTTCACTTTGTTCAAAGTCTATATTAATTATGTCTGTCTTTGCAAAAAAATGGGGGGGGGGGGGCTAAGCATCCCTCCCCCCCCCTTCCCGACGCCCATGGATTAAATCACAGTTGTGAAAACCAAGTCATTTATAAATATGTGTTTTTATGCTGCTGAATTTAGAGCCGGTTTCATGATCAAAATTCCACGACCCGGCTCAGTTTTCAACGGACTAGGATTTTATTCAGACATCTTACGTCTCAGTATTCGACGTTTGAAAATGGTTAGGGTCAATTTTCAACCCGGGTCAAAATTCAACGTTACAACGGCAAATAATTATTATTTGGTCCAGCACAGTTTTTTAACCTATGTCGAGTATGCTGAATCCGAAAAAATATGCTGGCCTTCTTGAAAATGGCGTTAAAGGGGTCAAAATCGCGATTCAAAATGGCGGACATCCAATTTTTCTGATTTTCTCTTTATGTCGTTCGAAATGGAGAAGTAATGAGTGAATATCTAATTGAGTGTAATAAAACTGTAAAAATTATAACAGGATGCTAACATTATTAGTTAAACTTAGAAAATTTAGTCGTTTCTACGCTTAACTCGAATTTTCTCTGATTTTTTTTTGTCTATTCATTCTATATTCTTCTTTTTAAGGATTTTACATTTGCAAATATCCATACACTGCATAATTGAATGATAGTGCAGCTGTACGTTAAAAGTCAAAATGGCGATTCAA